TAAATCCAGGAGCTGGTTTTTCGAAAAGATCAACAAAATAGACAGACCACTAGCCAGATTAATAAAAAAGAAAAGAGAGAATAACCAAATTGATGCAATAAAAAACGATAAAGGGGATATCACCACAGATTCCACAGAAATTCAAACCATCATCAGAGATTATTACAAACAACTCTATGCACATAAATCAGTAAACCTGGAAGAAATGGATAAATTCCTGGACACTTGCCTCCTGCCAAGCCTAAACCAGGAAGAAGCCGAAACCCTGAACAGACCCATAACAAGGTCTGAAGTTGAGGCAGCAATTAAGAGCTTACCACCCAAAAAAAGCCCAGGTCCAGACAGGTTCACAGCCGAATTCTACCAGACATACAAAGAGGAGCTGGTACCATTCCTTCTGAAACTATTCCAAACAATACAAAAAGAGGGAATTCTTCCCAAATCATTTTATGACACCAACGTCATCCTGATTCCAAAACCCAGCAGAGACTCAACAAGAAAAGAAAACTTCAGGCCAATATCCATGATGAACATAGATGCAAAAATCTTCAATAAAATACTGACAAGCCGATTGCAACAGCACATCAAAAAGCTTATCCACCATGATCAAGTAGGCTTCATCCCGGGGATGCAAGGCTGGTTCAACATACGCAAGTCTATAAACGTAATTCACCACATAAACAGAACCAAAGACAAAAACCACATGATTATCTCAATTGATGCAGAGAAGGCCTTTGACAAAATTCAACAGCCCTTTATGCTAAAAACCCTCAATAAGCTAGGTATTGACGGAAGGTATCTCAAAATAATAAACGCTATTTATGACAAACCAACAGCTAATATCATACTGAATGGGCAAAAACTGGAAGCATTCCCCTTGAAATGTGGCACCAGACAAGGATGCCCTCTCTCATCACTCCTATTCAATATAGTATTAGAAGTTCTAGCCAGAGCAATCAGGCAAGAAAAAGAAATAAAGGGCATTCAAATAGGAAAGGAGGAAGTCAAATTGTCTCTATTTGCAGACGACATGATTGTATATCTAGAAGACCCCATCGTCTCAGCCCCAAATCTCCTGAAACTGATAAGCAAGTTCAGCAAAGTCTCAGGATACAAAATCAATGTGCAAAAATCACATGCATTCCTATACGCCAATAACAGACTTAAAGAGAGCCAAATCAAGAACAAACTTCCATTCACAAATGCCACAAAGAGAATAAAATACCTAGGAATACAACTAACAAGGAACGTAAAGGACCTCTTCAAGGAGAACTACAAGCCACTGCTCAACGAAATAAGAGAGGACACAAACAGATGGAGAAACATTCCATGTTCATGGTTAGGAAGAATCAATATCGTGAAAACGGCCATACTGCCCAAAGTAATTTACAGATTCAATGCTATCCCCATCAAGCTACCAATGACCTTCTTCGCAGAACTGGAAAAAATCACCTTAAACTTCACATGGAACCAAAAGAGAGCCCGCATAGCCAAGCCAATTCTAAGCAAAAAGAACAAAGCTGGAGGCATCACACTACCAGACTTCAAACTATACTACAAGGCTACAGTCATCAAAACAGCATGGTGCTGGTACCAAAACAGAGATATAGACCAATGGAACAGAACAGAGGTCTCGGAGGCAACACAACATATCTACAACCATCTGATCTTTGACAAACCTGACAAAAACAAGCAATGGGGAAAGGATTCCCTGTTCAATAAATGGTATTGGGAAAGCTGGCTAGCCATGTGCAGAAAGCAGAAACTGGACCCCTTCCTGACACCTTACACTAAAATTAACTCCAGATGGATTAAAGGCTTAAACATAAGACCTAACACCATAAAAACCCTAGAAGAAAATCTAGGCAAAACCATTCAGGAGGTAGGTGTAGGCAAGGACTTCATGACCAAAACACCAAAAGCATTGACAACAAAAGCCAAAATAGACAAATGGGACCTAATCAAACTCCACAGCTTCTGCACAGCAAAAGAAACAGTCATTAGAGCAAATTGGCAACCAACAGAATGGGAAAAAATTTTTGCAGTTTACCCATCTGACAATGGGCTGATATCCAGAATTTACAAAGAACTAAAACAGATTTACAGGAAAAAAACTAACAAGCCCATTAAAAAGTGGGCAAAGGATATGAACAGACACTTTACAAAAGAAAACATACATGAGGCCAACAAACATATGAAAAAATGCTCATCATCACTGGTCATCAGAGAAATGCAAATTAAAACTACATTGAGATACCATCTCACGCCGGTTAGAATGGCGATCATTAAAAAATCTGGAGACAACAGATGCTGGAGAGGATGTGGAGAAATAGGAACACTTTTGCACTATAGGTGGGGGAGTGTAAATTAGTTCAACCGTTGTGGAAGACAGTGTGGCGATTCCTCAAGGACCTAGAAATAGAAATTCCATTTGACCCAGCAATCCCATTACTGGGTATATATCCAAAGGATTACAAATCGTTCTACTATAAGGACACATGCACACGAATGTTCATTGCAGCACTGTTTACAATAGCAAAGACCTGGAACCAACCCAAATGCCCATTGACGATAGACTGGATAGGGAAAATGTGGCACATATACACCATGGAATATTATGCAGCCATCAAAAACGATGAGTTTGGGTCCTTTGTAGGGACATGGATGAACCTGGAAACCATCATTCTCAGCAAACTGACAGAAGAGCAGAAGATCAAACACCGCATGTTCTCACTCATAGGTGGGTGTTGAACAATGAGAACACATGGACACAGGGAGGGGAGCACTACACACTGGGGTCAGTTGGGGGGAAATAGGGGAGGGACGGTGGGGGGTGGGGAGCTGGGGAGAGATAGCAAGGGGAGAGATGCCAGATGTAGGTGATGGGGAGGAAGGCAGCAAATCACACTGCCACGTGTGTACCTATGCAACCATCTTGCATGTTCTTCACATGTACCCCAAAACCTAAAATGCAATAAAATAAATAAATGGGGAAAAAAAAAAAGTAGGTTGCAAGGCTGATTAAGCATTAAAAGTATATCAGTATATTTTACCACATTAATAAATAAGAAAAATCTTAAGATCATCTCATTCGATGGCAAGAAAAGTACCTGATAAAATTTAACATCCATTCAAGATACAAATTCTTACTTAGCACACCAGAAACAGAAAGGAGCTTCCTTAATCTGACAAAAGTTACCTACAAAACACTACAGCAAACATCATACTTAATGGTCAAACAGTGAAAGCTTTCCCTTTGAGATTACGAACAAGACAAAGATGTCCTCTATCACCACTTCTATTCAGGAATGTACAGGAGGTCCTAGCCAGAGAAGTAAGGCCAGAAAAAAAAAATAAAAGGTGTAAGGATTGACAAGAAAGAAACAAAGCTCATTATTCACAAATGATATGATCATGAATATGGAAAACTGAAAGCATCTACAGAAAAACTGTTAGAAATAAGAGTTCAACAAGAATGTGAGATTCAAATCAATTGCATTTTCATGTAAACAGCAACTGCGGTACGAAACAAAGACTCGATTTAAAGTGGCCTCAAAAAATAACAAAGTATTAAATATCTTGCAATAAGCTCAATGAGAGCTGCAAATAATCTACAGGGAAAATCATAAAACTTCATTAACAAACATTAAAGGACTAAATAAATGAAAATACATGCTATGCTCACAATCTGGAAGACTCAATTTTGTAAAAATATCAAGTCTTCCCAAATTGATTTAGAGTAAAGGTAATCTCAGTGAAAATCCATACAGGATTATGTGTATGTGTGTATAACCTGACATACTGGTGTTTAAGTGTATAAGGAAATGCAAAGAACCAACAGCCAAGATATTCTTGGGGTGGGGGGGGAAGGAATAAGAACTTCGCAAATATATATTAAGTATGACCAGATAGAATTCATAAAAACAGACCAAGGAAACAAAATGCACAGATAAGACACAGACCCACATATATATGGGCACCGGATACAACATAAATTGCATGACAAAAATAAAGATATTTTGTTTAGTTTTTCCCATAAGTAATGATGGGACAAAGAACTATTCATATGGAAACAAAACTGAACCTATCCTTCACATTATTCACAAAAACAAATTCTACCTAACTGGTAATCCAGTTCATGACAAATGCCATACGAAGAACTATTTCAAGTTCAAAACAAAATGTTCTGATTAAAATATCCTCAGTGGGATGTATCTTAGGGACAAGCATCTTATTGTCAGTGGTAATTTTGGTATTACATTGTTACGTGTTTTACGTAAATTTGTAGAAAGCAAATATAGCAATGTAATTAAGGAATCCAAGATTTTTAGAATAAGAAAGAAGATACTACTATATAAATTCAATAAATAAAAATCCTTCCTGAAGTAGAACTATTTCTAAGAACTCAGTATTTTATCTTATTAAAAACAAAATGTTTACTAAGTCTATCCATTACAAAGGCCTAGAAACAATGAAACAATGAAAACCCAGTAATGATAAATGCCCCAAGCATCCAAATTGTGCTCTCTAAATACCAATTCCCATTAAATTAAGGAAAAACAAGTACTCCTTGAAGAAACAGCTGATTCCAGTTCTGGGGAAGAAAATGTAATCAGCCTGATACCTCTCTCTCAAATCACAAAAACAAAGTGGCCATGAAATACTTGAGTCATGTCAGAAGGACGGACACAGGAGCCAAATGAAGAGGTTTTCATTGATCAGAGAAAAAAGATTTCAACATAATAAAGGATGACTGTGACAGATTTAAACATTAAAAATATAAAAATGTATAAGTTCAGATAATAAAAACAAAAATGTTAAACTGAATGGTAACCTACACAGGTTGCTAGAGACCAACTCATTCTGAAAATTGATAAAAGGATAGAATCAAGCCTTTATCATGACTTTCCTACAGGACTCTCTAGTTTCAGGATAACCAAATACTTAATGAAACAAAGTTTCTCCTTTTAAAATAATTACAGCTAATAAATGCAGGAGAGATTATAAAATTAGAAATTCACCATTCTGTGATCCCAAAGTGAAATTCAAGAGCTGGTCCACAAGCACCAACGACTACTAAAACCATTAAGTGATAAGTAGACAGGGAACCTTATAACAAATTGATCAGTCTGGTATCAACTGTACCCAATGATCAATCTTAACATTATTAAAAATGGAACAACCAAGCATGTTCATTCTCATCTGATACTATAGGAAATACAAAGCACCACCAACACTAAACCTCACTAATTACACCTCTCCACTGACCAGTTTACATGAAATGAGAAACAAGAACACATTAAAGGACCACGAGAATACAATTACCCAAATCCAGAATGTTAAAAATTCTACACAACATATGACCCAAATCCTTTAACAAATAAATGAAGATTTAAAAAGATAAAATGATACAGATTAAAAGAGACTAAGACACATACCAACCAATGCACTATGTGTGCCCTGTTTGGATTCTGATGCAAACGGCTATTAAAACATTTAGGTTTTTAATCACTTCTCAGCCTTTTGGCTAAGATCAAGTGTAAAACATTAATTTTTTTTTTTTAGATAATTGATAAAAATTGAAAACAGATTGAATATTACAAGACATAAATTATGGTTAACTTAGCTGGGTAAGAGAATAGTCCTGTCTGCTAGAGATGCATATGGAAATACAGTATCTACTGCTAACTGAATGATGTCTGGGATTTGCTGTGAAATACTTCAGATTTATGAACAAATTACTTGTATTAAAAATTAAAATAAATAGGTAGGTAGGTGGACAGGTAAATGAATACAACTTTCTCAGGGACAGAATCAATTTTAGGTGAATTCAAATTAAACATAAAAGCAAAACAATAAAGCTTTTAGGTAACAGAATACTCTCATTCTCAGAGTAAAGCAAGATTTATGAAACAAAACTTAAAATCATTCAACAAAAATGTGCCAAACCATAGGTAAAGATTATCTACCTCACATCATTTTAAAGGTACTTACTGCTGGTAAAAGAGACTGCATATTTTGATTAGAATCTGCTATCGTAGCAAGGTATACCAAGTTTGTGTGCAACATCTGCTGATACCTATTAAAACAAAACAAATATCAATATTAAAAAATAATTTTCTTCCTATCTGCTTAAGTACAGACAGCATTGTATATCATTTCTAAAGTTTCACAGGAAATTTGTTACCCAAACATCAATAGCACTTCAATTTTTCCTATTTACTCTGCAAAAGTTCCGAATGATAAATAACATCTTTAAAAATAATGAGCTCAGAGATCTTACCATGTATGCTAAATAGTGTTCTAATTGTTTTATATGCATATATATTTCACTTAATCCACTAACCAAGACTATGAGGTAGGAGATCTTTTCTCCAGTTTACTGAAAGAAACTAATGTTTAGAGAGGTTGATAACTTGCACATGATTGCATAACTAGTAGATGAAATAACTGATGTATGTAATAGCTCCATACTAGTACATTTAGTACACTAGTAAATTTAGTTTTTTAAAAAAGAAATAAAGGAGTCCAGTGAAATATGCTTATCCTGGCTGGGCACGGTGGCTCACGCCTGTAATCTCAGCACTTTGGGAGCCCGAGGCAGGCAGATCACTTGAGGTCAGCAGTTCGAGATCAGCATGGCCAACATGCTGAAACCCGTCTCTACTAAAAATACAAAAATTAGCTGGGCGTGGTGGCACACGCCTGTAATCCAAGATACTTGGGAGGCTGAAGCAGAATTGCCTAAACCCAGGAGGCGGAGATTGCGGTGAGCCAAGATTGCACCACTGCACTCCAGCAAGGGCAAGAGTGAGACCCCACCTGAAAAAGAAAAAAATATATGCTTATCCCTTCCTTCTGCCATTTTCATTTTGCGGGAAACCTCAAACCCAAGTACAGTGAATATGGTCTGCTAAAATGCAGGAAAGAGGGTCGGAACCACACACCTTTTCTTCCTTCTCACTACCGTAGCAATGACCAGCAATTTATGCTGACTGTGTTTATACTACCCATCTCAGCATATAGAGAAGGCAGTGAACAGGTAATTTCCAACTACAGAAAAAAAGAGATATGCTAAAACACAAAGATGGAGGAAATGTTGTAACACCAACACCACTCAAGATTAACTTTAATAAAGCAAATTCATTTTCTCTCATATAAAAAGGTAGGTAAAAATGAAAATTTTTAATTGGCCTTTGCTGACTGCAATATATTTTCTGTAAAATTGCATTATTCTATAGCATTCATCAAATAAACATATCCTGTTTTTTCTTTCGAGACAAAGTGTCACTGTCAGCCAGACTGGAGTGCAGTGGTATGATCTCAGCTCACTGTAATCTGCACTTCCTGGGTTCAAGCAATTCTCCTGCTTCGACCTCCCAAGTAGCTGGGATTACAGGCATCCACCACCATGCCTAGCCAATTTTTTGTATTTTTAATAGAGACAGGGTTTCACCATGTTGGCCAGGCTGGTCTCGAACTTCTGACCTCAGGTGATCTGCATGCCTTGGCCTCCCATGTGAGCCACCACACCCGGAGTAAAGGTTCAAAGATGAACATTAACAAAAAAGTAGTAAATACTCATATTCTTGTATAAGAAATGTTTCAGGCAAAGTTATCACATCTTAAAGAATTGTTAAAGTTAGACTATCAATTCCCAGATGGCTGTCATGTATTAATCTTTCCCTTTATTTTCCTTTTGCTTCTCCTACAATGAGAAACAAGAACACTTGTTAAGGTTGAGGAGTTTTTTTTTCCTCTTTACTCACAAACCAATACTGACAACCTGAGAAAGAAAGAATATCTGAGGAACAAAAGAAATTAAATCCATCAAAAAAGGCAGAAATTAAGATTCTCTCTAAGTCAGTGTAAGCCCCATTTGCTTAAAGTGTTCACCAAGTATATGTGAGAAATGAGGTCTAATCCTATATGTAGGGAATGAGAGAAATGATCATACACATATTTGAAAAAGTTGAAAATACAAACAGTGTAAACTTTTGCTGACTCAGTTGGTTCTAGACCTAAACATACACTCTCTGTGACATATACTATCCTTGGCGCTATCTGGAGTTCTTAAAAGCCAAAAGTAAAAATAATTACAGTTATTCATCACTTAACAATGGGGATACATTCTGAGAAAAGTGTTGTTGGGTGATTTAATCGTTGTTGTGCAAACATCATCAAGAGTACTTAAAACAAATCTACACGCCTAGGCCATATAGTAGAGCTTATTGCTTCTAGGTTACAAACTTGCAAAGCCTTTTATTGTATTTAATAATTTTTGGTGTACTGTACTAATTGGTAAGTATTTGTGTATTATTTAAATAGAAAAGGTGAGGTAGAATTATGATATTATAATCCTATGGGTATTATAGTAGAAATGGGTATTATAATCTTATGAGTTATTATAGTAGAAATATGGTACTATAATCTTTCAGTTTGTTGTTGACCAAAAATGCATTATGTAGTGCCATGATTGTATTCTAATCAGTGCCTCTAAGTTTTACCATTCCATGGCAGACTTGAGGAAGTGATCTCCTTATTATTGATGATTAGCAATCGTTAAACCAAAGAAATAGATCAGCTAGCTAATTTTTTTAAAGAATATTTTCAAATATGCAGACAAGATTCATCTAAGCAACAATATATGTAATGAAAACGATGATATAAAATGCAAAACATACAACAGATTAAACAGTAAGATAACCTAGCACTCAGATCTTAGTTTCTCAATAATCATTCTCCACACACACACACACAAAATCAGGGAGAAAAGGGTGACTACCAACTCGCACAGGAAAAAAAATCAGGATGAGTCTAGAACATTTTGTGGTACAAAAAAAAATAAGACAATGTTCAAGACATAATGAAGACATATCAAGAAGCCAGCTTGAGGGGCTCCCACTGGCCAAATCTAGAAGAGATTGTAACATAGAGAATATAGTAATAATGTTTAAGTCCATGTAGACATAAATAAGTGAATGAAAGAATGAAGGAATAGGAGGAGAAATTTCTTCCTTACAGTTAGATTTAAGTAAAAGTAGAAGGAATGACAGATTTAGTCATCATTTGGCAACCACCTAAAGTGTTAACTATCTTACGCAAAAATCACTGGATTTTTGGTGGATGCTAAAAGTAATGTGTTGAAGTATGATGAGAAACAATGTAAGTGTGCCTCAAGGCATTAGATATGTATAAATTACAAGAAATAGTACTTTTATGGTGAACAAATCATAAGGTAAGATATCACCTTAGTTAAGATACTATCTTAACTAAGTGATCAAAGTTATCACCAATATTGGGACAAACTGCTACCACAAGGCTACTGAGGATGCACTGTGAAGGACACAATATCACATCAGTGGTACTCCTGCTAAAAGTGTATAGTGTGAATTTAATCATGGGAAACACCAGTTAAATCCTAAATGAGGGACCCTCCACAAAACAACTGTTCTGTACTCTTTAATATTGTCAAAATTATGGAACGGTCGGACCCCTAGATTAAAGTATAACTTAAGAGACATGACAACTAAATACAACACCAGATCCTGCACTGGACCCCAGACCAGAAAATATACACTAATGGGACAAGTGGCAAAATTCAACAAAGCCCTAAACATTAGATAATAGTATTGCATTCTTGATTTTAGCATTTATACTCTGGTAATTTAAGAATATGTGCTTGTTTGTAGGAAATACACACTGAGGTTATTAAAAGCAAGAGGGATTCATATTTGCAATTACTCTCAAATGTTTCTGAAAAATATGGGGAAAGAAATGAATAAAAAAGCAAGTGGGCTATGTTATCCTTCGAAAAACTTCAGTGCAGCACATACAGGAATTCTTTGTACCATCTTTGAAACATTTCTGTAAGTGTGAAATTATTTCAAAACGAAAAGGTTTTTTGTGTTTTTTTGTTGTTGGTGGTGGTGGTGGTGATGGTGTTTAAGAAGAAACAGATCTCAATGTGTTGCCCAGGCTGTTCTCAAACTCATGTCATCAAAGCAATCCTCCCACCTCAGCCTCCCAAAGTGCTGACATTTCAGGCATTATGGCTCATGCCTGGCCAAAACAAAAACTTAAGACACCACTTTTCAGCAGTTCGATGTGCAAAAATATTTTAAAGATGTCTAATATCTACTGCTCACAGGGGTAGCTGAAAACTAGGACTCTAAAAACCTGGCTGGGGGAAAGCAAACCAATACAATCATTTTGCTGGTTAATTTGTCAACTTACCGCGGTCTTTAACCCAGTAATTCCATTTCTAAAACTGTAACCTACATAAATATTAAAAACAACAATATCTATAAATGTGCATGCATACATATAAACTCATGTATGTAAATGCACAGAAAAAAATGTTTGTAAGGATACATACTACAGCATCAGAAGCAGTTACTCCTACGGGGGGAGGGAGATAAGATAGTGGCATGTAAAAGGTGACATCTCCACAAACTTAACCCTTTATGATTTTTTTTTTCAATGACCTTATGTGACTTTTTAAATTTAAAAACACTTTTAAACAAAGAGGAAAAAGTAATGGAAACTTGGAATTAAATGGAGGGTAAATCAAATGACAGCAAGAGACCAGTACAATGTGAAAACCAAATAAAGCAAGACCCATGGATGCTGGGAATCATCTGCCTGAGGATATATCAGTGAGATCTCTAGGAAAGGCAAATGTGTCCCAAAACAAGGGTGAGAATAAAACAGCCCTCAGTATCCACAGTTTAACCAAGCACGCACTGAAAATATTTTGTGGGGGGGGGGGGGGGGGGGGAGACGGTTGTGTCTGTACTGAAGATGTAGACTTTTTTCTTATTCCCTAAACAATACAGTATAACAACTATTTACATAATATTTATATTGTATTAGGTATTATGAGCTATCTGGAGATTATTTAAAGTTTACAGGAGGATGTGAGTAGGTGATA